GCAGGATGAGGACACTCATCAGTGTGAGTGGTGTATGAAAATACAGTGTTTGTAAATATGGAGAGAAATGCAGTGTTTGCAAATAGACACCATATGTGTATATATGTGTTTATTGCCTGTAGCATGTTAAATAAAACACAAACAAGTTACTGACTTAAGTTTAAGTGGGGGTGTTAGAATGTAAACTTAAGTAACCGTGTATTGATATTTTATGGACGTTTTATTTGCACTATTATATGCTTTATACATGTATGTTAACCGGAAATGTTATCAGATTTAACTGCCCCTGATGTTTGAATATATGTGTCTGTTGACATTCATGCATCGTCCATGTCAGACATGTGTACGGCTCTGTGAATAAATCTTTCCTCCAACGAGAGTAGTTGAAGCCTCTATCAAACAAAAGGTTAGAAGTATGGCGAATTCAACACAAACATTTGACAACAAACAAAGAAGATATTGGTGAGTTGTGACTGAAAATTACTGACAAAAACATCATGGTAACACAGGTACTGTTTTTTACCTTAGACAATACCTAAAAGTATTGAGCTGCAGGATTAAGTAAACGAGTTATGTTTGATGTTTCACGTGAAAATGTCCCTTAAAGTTTCTACTTGACATGACACGTGAAACAGATCAGTAGCGAGTATAACTGAAAGGTGCCTGAATGACGCATTCCACCCTACGTCTCAGGCCTCCAGTCAGACGATGGCTCTGTTGATGGGTCAACAACAACCACTCCTGATGCAATGCTGCTTCCAATTTGCGTAAATCGTGTACAGGAGGGTCTCGTGCCTTTATGCACCGCCACAGAATATCCCAAACATGTTCAGGTGGGTTCAAATGGTGGTTCATTGCTAGCCAGGGTAGAGTCAATATTGCATTGGCCCTCATGTAATCAACGACTGCATGCGAACGCATTGTCATCCATGTACTGAGGTCGAGTAGCAAGAGGGTGGTTGTCAAAATGAGAAATGACGACTGGCCTCAAGACGTCCCGGATGCCCCTGTTAAGTTGACCAGGTTGACCAGATCCAACCTGCAATCAGGAGAGATACACACCCAAACCACAAACGAGTCCCCGCCGTATTCAACAATCGGTTTAATGTTCCAGTTTTGTGTATCATTAATTTCAAGTCATGTGGTTGGCAAGCTTGCGGTTAATTTTCTTCTACATCCCTTGATCTTGATTGGCATCGTGCCAAGGGCGCCTGAGATGCATAGTGGATATGATGATCTTGGAGTCATATCCGAAGGAAAGAAGCCACCATGTCAACGATTTGGCTGCCCTTCACCATGCACAAGTCCAGGTGAATGATGAGGGCTCTGGGACTGTGCCGTGTAGCCTTGACCTGAGTATGTAAGATGGAGTCCAGCTGCATCCACTTCATTCCACATCGCGCCACACCAAGCATCTTCAGTTGGTCTGGACGGGTCCCCTTCAGCAGCAATTGCTACCATGCCCTGGCGATATAGCTGACCAAGATAGTGCTTGGTGACGACATAGCGGATTACCTGGAAAAGGTGACAGTGTAACCCTGTATTGTACTGATCACACTCTTGTGTGTGCGAGATGGATTGATAGCTTCTGGGGTTGTCAGAGAAACGTAGATTAAGGACGCTGCAACCTGGTTTGGAGGGTCCGGTTTGGACCAACTTGTCGACCCTTAAGAACCCCAAGAAGGCTCTACAGTGCCTTGAACAGCCTGGCTTTATATGCAACAGATATATGCTTATGCATATGTTGGTTACTACCAGCAGAAGATCTACCATGATGAGTTTTCTACTGTCTAGTCGGACCACCAACTTGTATAAGTCTGTTACTAGCTTACCCACCAGAAAATGGTTTGTACAATCGGTGAGACCACAGAATTTGTACTGCTGAGACAGCGCTGCAGTGTCAATCTTGACTGTGTTAGGGGTGTGGTGAGTGACTGACAGATAAGAAGTTTACCACCTGATCCAGCGGAACTGGCCACACCTCCTGTAGCTGATGTGCCGACCAGGACTATTGTAAGGCATTGATGCCTGTTTGGTATGTGGACCATGTGTTCAAGGAGTCTACCAGACTCTTACGTCACATCAGCCATACGTTGCACGGGAAAGGTGTGTGCTTCTGGTACACGTCAGGTGCTGCCGCACGGAAACATTAAAGCTGCAAACATCGGCAATAGTGTTAGCAGTGGTAGAAACTTCTTTTTCCTTAAACATAATATTATACCGAAGGCACTGTAGGATACGGTGGTAGAGTGGGCTCATCAATCTGGGAACCTTGGTAGACTGTTTGTTGATTATTCCGACGACGTTTTATTTGCTTGTTGCTTTCCCCAAAGTTGCATGGCCAGGGTGTACAGTGGTCAGTGTACTGATTGCTCAGAGTGGCTTTTGGTGATAAGTCCTCTCCAGACATGGCAAGTTATGTAATGCTTCGAATTGCTGAAGAGAATGAGGACAGATATCCTGATGCATCAGCAATTTTGAGGGACGACAGGTATATGGACGATCTGATTCATTCATATGAAACCCCAGAAAAAGCTACAAAGAAAATCAATGAGGTTAATGCTGTGTTGGCCACTGGACAGTTTCAGTTCAAAAAGTGGTTTTGTTCTTCGCAGTTGGTTCGTGAACAGAGTAGAGAAAATCAACTACAATCGTCTACGTCTGTCAGTCTTGATGGTGAAGAAATCAAGACCTTAGGTATTCGATGGAATCTGGATACTGATAATCTGAGTTTTGCAGTCAAGAATCTGATTGCAGAGAAATACACTAAGAGACAAGTATTATCCAGAATGTCAATGTTGTACGACCCACTAGGACTAGCTTTAGCCATCACGATCAAAGCCAGGGTAGCTATGCAGGATATCTGGCGTCAGAAATCGTTGGATTGGGATGATGAGTTACCCAAAGAAATGTATGTTCAGTGGTCGAACCTGTTTCAGGAACTGCAAAGGTTGAGAGATGTTCAGTTTCTACGTTATTTGAAACCTCCTGATTCCGTGAACACAACAACTCTACACGTCTTTGCAGACGCAAGCATGAAAGCCTATGGAGCTGCAGCATTTCTCACATGTGCAACAGAAAATGAGACTTCAACACAGTTGATTATGGCAAAGGCTAGAGTTGCGCCATTGCATCAGACAACAATACCGAGATTGGAGCTTATAGCATCATGGATTGCTTCACGGTTGGCTACGACGATCAAAAGAGAAATCAGACAAAAGCTGTCAGATGGGATATTGTGGACAGACTCACAAATTGTGCTTCATTGGATCAGAGCAGAATCAATATCATTCAAAGCCTTTGTTGGTGTCCGCATAGACGAGATACAATCTCAGCGGAATCAGACACACTGGAGATATGTGCCAACATATTGGAATCCTGCAGATGATCTTAGTAGAGGAATTTCAGTGGAGGAATTGAATGGTAGCTGGATGAATGGGCCAGAATTCTTGAAGATACCAGCTAATGAGTGGCTGATCCAGCCACGTGATGAAGCAACTACTGAATCCAGTGAGGAGAAAAGGAAGTGTCCAGCCATTGCTGCTTGTGCACCAATCTAGCCTGTCATAGAAGCAGATAAGTTTTCATCATGACAATGACTTCTGCGAGTTACAGCATACTGCCTAAGGTTTGTCAGGAACTCAAGGACAAGATACACAAGGTTTCCGAACTAGGGGATAATGCTATGACAGTGAGTTGTGAAGAGATGAATTGTATTGGATCAAGTGTGTCCAACGTGGAATGAATGATTGGAAGAGTGATCTGTGATCTAGCTCCCTTTGAGGAAAAGGGTATGGTTCGAGTAGGAGGTAGACTCAGGCATTCTCAACTGCAGTATGATCAGATTCATCCAGTGCTATTGTCTCCAGGTCACCATGTATGCAGATTGATGATGTGTGATGTTCATGTGCAAATGAGCCATGCTGGTCCAGAGAGAACATTGTGCAAGAGTAGGAGATATTATTAGATTGTGGAACCTAGCCAAGAGTATTGTGAGAAATTTAGTTGTGTGCAGGAAGTTACGTCAGCCTGGTCATACCACTCTGATGGCTGACTTGCCTCCAGAAACATCGCTTCCATTCTCACCACCATTCCATGTAACAGGAGTTGATCTCTTCGGACCAATGTCAATCAATTATGGTAGGAACAAAACCCAAAAGGTATAGGGAGCAATCTTCATGTGCGCGAATGTGAGAGCGGTTCACTTAGAGATAGTGGATGGACTGTCTACTCAGGCATTTCTACAAGCATTGCGTCGTTTTGTATCAAATCATGGATGGCCACACACAGTTATTTCTGATAATGGCACATCGCTTGTTGGAACCGAGAGAGAACTTTGTACCCTATTCAGAGAAGGCAAACAACAAATGATGGACTTTGCATTGCTGCACAGAATCAATTGGAAGTTCATCACGCCTTTGCGCCCATACCAAGGTGGACTCTGTGAAAGTTTGATTAAACAAGTGACAAGATCTCTGAAGGTCATCATCGGTCAGCAGATTCTCACCTGGAATGAGTTATCAACTGCATTTGCAGAAGTGAAAGGTTTGCTGAACGCAAGACCATTGTATTATACAGCACAGGATCCTAATGATCCACAAGCCCTAACACCCAACCACTTGCTGTTAGGGAGAGCTTCCATAAATGTTCCACAAGGACCGTTCCAGGAGACAAAGAACCTACATAAAAGGTTTGAATATGTGCAGATGCTGGTGAAGCAGATCTGGAAGAGGAAGAGGAAAATGGGACATGGCACGTATCGTTGATATATTTCCTGGAAAGGATGGTGTTATCAGAACTGTCAGAGTTCGCACCAATAACGGTGAATACAACAGATCAGTACAGAAATGCTCTTTGATCATGGAATATTTCACATAGACTGTTTTCAGGTGACACTTGGTTGCCCCCGGAGGATTTGGTTGAAATGACATTTGACTGTAAAATAACTCATATTTAATTTTATTTACACCAAGAAAGAAATATTTTAGTTAGCCGTTTTGGTATATGTATTGGGTTTCCAAAATAATGATTACTCCCTGTTGTGTTTTGCGCGCTCCAGCGATGAGCGTGAGTGACCCGCGATGGTCAAATGTGTGAGAATTTCTGTGTGTTGCAGAGAGTTAGCGGCTGAGCACTAATCTTCAGGTATAAAATACGGTTTTTTGTTTGATATATTATCATGTCATAAGTGCAAGTTTTGGAAATATGTCAACTTTGTTGATAATTCATTTTGCATTTTTCAAAGAGCATGTTGTTCGATTTTCGATCATCTTTGAGCGCTCAAAATATATGCTGGAAGTATTTGTAATGTTTTCAAGTATTGTTATATTCCCTAAATGGTATAACTATTCTTTGCTGCGTAAATGTCAGTCAAAGAAAATGTTTATTTACCGTAAATGTGAATTTTGGAGCGAGTTAAATTTAGGGAGAAATCCCTGTTTCAAAATGAAATGTAAACTTTATTGGGTATGATTTTGGGTGAACATTATGAATGTTTGAATACTTCTCAAGAACTGTAATTGATTTATTTGCTTTATTATCACTAAAGAGTATATTTATTTTACTCTTCAGAACATATTTAATGTTACGAAGGACTCAGCCAATAAAGAGTGGTGAACACTATCTTCTCTTCATCATTTGTACCAAAACTGATGATGCTTGTGGCTTCTCCAGCGCGAGAGCAAGTGTCACGGCGCATGGTGAAGCAGCCTGATCCTCAGGGGTGACTGAGTTACAGCAGTAATAAGCCTATGGTTTGGATATGCGCAATAACGCCATTTCACAGTTAGTACTAAATACAAATATTTTGCAAACGATCAGTTGGGTTGACCTTGGTTTGCGTGGTCGCTTGAAAGTTTATTGGTTGTTTTTATTTGAGTTGATGACAATAGTTATTTAAGTGTATGAAGATGGGTGATGTTATCACTTACTTGTTAAAGGACGAGTTATTGTATGTGCAGAGCAAAGATAGCCCCTGATTCCACAGCCATACGTACTCCCCACTTCCACAGATGTGATTGTTAGATGAGACTCCTTGCCGACCAATTTAACCGATCCCACTGCACCTGTAATGCAGACCATGAATCATTTTTATTAAACAACTACTAAACGCATTGTAAAGGTTTAGCATTATACATTGGCAACATATAGCGTTAAGCGAAGTATGTAATCACTATGCAGTGATTAGGAATAGTCCCCAAATATGTACAGTTACATAAGCACCATTTGAATATCAATAAAATTATACTTGGTAAAACAACACATACACATTTTTATTCAATAAAAGTGGTAAAACCATTTCATAATCATAAGATTATTATCAAATAGTAGTATAGGTAATAGGGGTTCTGGCTCACTTCCACTGGAGCTGGATTTATATACCTATACTGCTACTACAGATGGAATTTTTTATGCCAAAATGATTATGCGATTCAACGATAGTCATGAGATTAAGTTAAATTGACCCTAGCTCACCAATACCTGGGGCCAATCATTGCTTTAGATGAGTCTAAATGGTAATAAAAATATTCTTTATTATTTTTATCGATAAAGCGATATTCAACATTTTTATTAAGTTCTTCGTTCATTTTACTAGGAGACCAGACTATATAACTACACTCTTTTTGTAAATTGATAAGAAACAATTGATAACCGTATTTGGTTGGTTTGGCATCACTGATATAATAAAAACCTTGTGGTAATTCTTTCCATTGAATAGCTTTCTCCATTATAATATATTTATGTTAGCATTTGTCTAAATGTAATCACACGATAGTAAACAATCTATTTTTAATCTCCAACCAGTTCTTTGGTTTTGGCACGGAATAATTGACGCGCTTGTTGCCTCCCCTGTTCTATGAACTTTTTTTTCTCGTCTTCGCTTATACCACTGGTCTTACGAGATTTTGATCGAATCTCCTGCTTCATTTCATTGTATTTGGTGAGCCCCAACAGCACTAAACGAAACTCATCCTCGGATATCTTACAATCGGCCATTGCTGTCGAAATATGATCCTCAATGCTGTTCAACTTTGCTTCGGCCAGTATCCGAATACTATCGTGTTTTAATGCTTTCTTTTGTAACCTACGAGAAATGAATTTTATCGCTATTCCTGCCAGTCCCGAGACTCCAGCGGTTATTTCCATGCCGAGCACAATAGGCGCGGCGATTATAGTTGATAGTAAACCGATACCCGCTACACCGAGTCCCATGCCAGATACTAAAAGCACGGTGTCAACTCCGTCCAGAGCATTCACGGCTCTGCGATACTTTTTATACAATCCAAGTCTCAACTCCCTATCCTTCCCTATTCGATGTTTTATGTCGCTTATTTGATGTAATCGAAATCCATCAACAGTTTCCATCTTTTCAAATGCTTCACCGAGCGTCGGATATAAACTCATAGTGTATATTACGATCATATAATAGTCTTTAATTGGTCTTGCTTAAATGTTTTGAGACTATACATCAATCTTATCAAATGTATATTATACGGCAAGAATATCTTAGAAAGAGAAATACTGTCACTTTTAATAATTTGGACCCCCTCGAGGGTTGCAACGGGCGATGCTCCGATATGAATAATACTGCAACGTTGACGCTCGTGTTTCTTGAGCCATTTAATCGATAGACCTGGTAATATATCGAAGGCATCTTCCGGTGCATCTCCGAACAAGACTTCAATAATAAGCGTAGAAAGATTAGGTATTGCACTCAGGTTAACTTTAATATCTTCGAATTCAGTAACCAAATTTAAAGTAACATTTTTTAAGGCCGGACGACTATATAACATATGACCTGGGTTTTCTGGCAGGGGGGTAACTAACACACTTTTTCGTTTTGACGGGATATAAGCCGCGAGTACGATGCCACTATTTATTATCTTAGTTAAATTATGTCCCTTACCCATCATCACATAGGGTGGGGTAATGACGATATTCAGTAGCCACTCGATGTTTGCTTCGATCATAGTCCATTTATTATTGTCGTTGCGAGTAATATTGTACGAAGTGTTTTTAAGGAGTCTACTAACATCAACATCGCTTAAATCTCCTAGATTACCCGTGAATGTAACTTCTTTCCGATTGTATACATTATCGTGTAAGTGTAAAGCGTATAACTTACCATCGGTACCGGGTTTACCAAATCCTTCTGTGTCTCCGAGATCGGAAAGCGCAATTGTATTACATTGTCTTACTGTTCCAGGGCCTGATGCATCAACCATTATTTTTTAATATGGAGTGTTACACTTAAGTATCCTATATGTACAGGTTGGTGTTTTACATCTAATACAGAAATTTTGAGGTCTGAAATAATACCCCGCTTTAATTTTTTATATTGTAATGACGAGAAAGATTCCGTTCTACCGCTATTATATTTTTCATTTTTCACTGGAATAGATCTGAGTAGAGTTGAAGGACTTTCTAGTTGAATATTATCCGTCGTGCTTATTTGATCAAGATGGATGAACAACTCTTTATAGGGAACTAAATCGGGTAATTTAATATAAGGATGTGCGTCATCTAAGCGACTAAATTCCTCTCTACCTGGTTGGCCAAATACAATTATATTTGGACCATGGTTGTATTTCACTGTCCCAGTCGCCTCATTTTGTGAGAGACTAACTCCATTAGGCTTTAAAATTTCATCATTGAGTGAGCTTATGCTGTAATACCCATCAGGTATAGTAATGGATTTGCTAGTACCATATGAAGTTAATATATTTATCCTATTATTATTTTTTATAGCATTTATATTGGTCCACAGTGGGTAATATGTTACATCGCATAGAGCGACTTCGAGTTGTCCATCCGAGTTATCGATAGTACGAAGCAGTTGAATAGACTGTCCATCTGTTATTCCCAGGAGTGTAACATACATATCAAATATACAATGATACTATATCATAACTTAAATATGGAATCAACCATTATTTTTTAATATGGAGTGTTATACTTAAGTATCCTATATGTACAGGTTGGGTTTTTTTCATCTAATACAGAAATTTTGAGGTCTGAAATAATACCCCGCTTTAATTTTTTATATTGTAATGTTGAGAAAGATTCCGTTCTACCACTATTGTATTTTTCATTTTTCACTGGAACACATCTGAGTAGAGTTGAAGGACTTTCTTGTTGAATATTATCCGTCGTACTGATCTGATCAAGATGGATGAACAACTCTTTAGGGAACTAAATCGGGTAATGCATCTCCATCAGATGTTGTCCTGAATATTGATAATATAAAGTCTCTTGATCTTTCTACCTGTGTAAATCCAAGTGTAATTGCTAAGTTCTCATGAATCCACATACCTTTTTCTCCAGTGCCGATTTTCACTATCCCATTCGACTCATTTTGTGTGATACTAATTCCATTAGGCTTAAAATTTTTATCATTGAGTGAGCATATATTGTAATACCCATCAGGTATATTAATGTTTTTTTCAATAATATTTTGTTTATCTGTTATAGACAACTCATTATTATCTCTCGCAGCACTTATATTGGTCCACAGCGGGTAATACGTTACATCACATAGAGCTACTTCGAGTTGTCCATCCCAGTTATCGATAGTATGAAGCAGTTCAATAGACTGACCATTTGTTATTCCCGGGAGTGTAACATACATATTAAATATACAATGATACTATATCATAACTTAAATATGAAATCGACTCACATTACTAATCAATCGATTATAGTAACTGCCTCCGGTGCTGAGTTTACCGTTAAATTCCACGATAACTTTGAAAAATACAGTTTCACGGCAACTAACGATAAAATGATTGACGATTGGTTTAACCGTCCGATGCAATTTTGGCAGAATCAGTTAAACTTTGCCGTATGGTGTGCCACAACGGGATGTGGCGTATCTGTTAATGCCCCAGGATTTAAACTATATAAGTCTGTTATATTATTTCACGTGTACTATCAGATTAGACGTATACTTAAAGAAATTAGTGCTCCATTACCGATGGATCCAGCATGGAATCACGCAAATAATCATTATAATAAGAGGGCCTTCGAACGTATTTGTAATGAATTTAATGTTTCTACGAGTAAAGATTGGCGCATTAAAGGACCTAGCCATGGTCTAGGTATTCCGTACAATGGACAAAGAACTATTAAAGATAAAAGCGATTATTTAATTAAAGCGGGTGTGATCCCTTCAGGCTTTGCTCTCTCGAATAAACAGTTTAGAGCAGATCGTATGAACTTTGAGAGTGGCATTCCTTATCTTATAACAAAGTTTGTGCATCCAAACGATACAACAGATGCTTGGAATGAATTTCTTAATGATAAAACGGAAAATAATTTTACTAACCCAGGATTTGAAAGAGTTAATGAATCGATAAGAACTTATGTGTGGGCAAATTTTAGAGCACAATTGCAAACACGAACATCCATTATCGGTACTGGGACGGCGTTTGATGCGCAAAAACAGTTTGTCTCAAACGTGGAGGACGCCATTAATTCACCAGTTGACATACCATCGTCTATAAAGCGTTTTCAAGATGCATTACAGTACGCCCAATCCAAAGTGGACTACGTTTATGCGCCGGGACTATACATGTCTCCGAGTAATATGGAACTTAAGATCGGTCAAGCGATAGGCTATAATAATAAAATTGTTATCGCTACCGATCAACAAAAACCAGGTATAAATTCAGATATTAACGTCGAATTAATAACGCAAACGATCACGGGCGAAAAGGGAATAGTCAAGCCACAAACACCTCATGTTTCACAACCATCTACTAATGCACACGCACAAGTACCACCACATATTGAGGCTAAAAATCAACAACATATCGATGAAAAAACAGCGCTTGTAGTGGGTGGAGTCTCGGTTGGCTTACTCATGATTTGGTGGTTAAATAGTTCTTAGCGAATACGTACAACAGCCCTGCAATTGCTACGATCAACCCCCACAAGTTTTGACTAAGCCAAGTGGTGGTCTTAGCTAATAAATTCAATAGCCAGGAAACAACACTCCCTATTATACCGGGAAGTGCAGCCGCGGCTTCCTCAGCGAGCTTTCCCAGTGCTGAACCTAATGCTTTTA